AAATCATAGTATTATTCTTATTCAAACGTTCATCACAACATCCAAAGTTTCGTATCGATACTCCGACAGTAGGCCAAAATCTTTCTATTAAAGGCTGGACTCTGGACTATTAAGGCTGTTGATGTGATGTGTGATGTGACGGCATTAAATTATATTATACTTAATTACTTACAAGAAAGGCTAATTAATACGTGGTAATTATAAAAATAACTAAGCAGACTATTAATTTATTTATTGTGGCCTCGTTGATATCGTTATTATAATTCAGACAAAGTTTCACTCATTGTTTACGTTTCATAATTATGAAAATTCGTAATCCTAAACTCTTTTACGACAAAAGAAACCTAACCGCTTCGAGGCGTACTTTATATTCGATGTTCATCTCCTTTGTTAGTTATACTTTTTATATCATTATTTTCTTTTTATAGAACTTGTGCGCCAACCGAATTTCTTGCCTCCTAGGTATGAACCTGGTACCATAGTATTCAGTTCCTTTTTTTATAGATATGAAAAACATAAAATAAATTTCAATAAACGCTGGCACTACCCGCTGGAAATATATAAACATAGCACCGATATTAATTAGTCTTGATATAAACTGTAGCCATTTAAAAGAGCGCTTAAGCTGTCAGCGCTGCGCTGTGGACGATGCTTTACACACATATTTGGTCTCTCGGTAATCTTAACTACTAAAACCTGCCTTCTTTTTTAAAATTCTTTAGCTTCCTCTGAAAAACAGGACAACGTTCGTAGCTTTTTACCATACCAGTTTATGGTCTTGCTTTTAACTTTTTTATCTAACGTTTTTAATCAAAATCTAGCTACACCTAGTTGAATTTTGTTTTAAAATGGTTTATCGAAACGATACTTGTAACAAATGTTGTATTCTTTAATTGCTAAGCTAACACATATTTTAATTGAAATAACGCTAACCTCAAAGTCAAATAAATACATAAATTCTATTTAACATAAAAAAAAAATTGCAGTCTCTACTAAAACATAAGTTACATTTCTGGCTCCCAGAGATATTCAAATTGCCTGCGTCAAAAATCGAATGAAATTTAAATTGGCTCGCAGAAAGATGCAGTTATTCTTCGGATTAACAGTAAGGAAAGCTCTACAATAGCAGTAAATGGACCATTTTATTCAGACAGTGACATTTTAAAAAATGTTACTAGCTCCGCACGTTCACCCGCACATTTTCTATGATTAATACTATTCTTATATAAGTCGCAGTATGAGTGATATAGACGTGATAAAAGATGACATCATTCTATAGCGATTGTAGTGGCACATTTTTAAGCCATTAACTAAGAAAAAAACAGCCAAAAAACTGTATATGGTATATGACATCGGAATGACACAATACAATCGAACAACTGTAATAGCCCAATAAACTTGGTTTTAGCATGTTACTAATGCAATTTTTACAGTAATTATTCATTTTTAAAAGCTGCTTTATACGTCCTTTATGACATGCTTATATAGCATTATTTGATGAATTTTATATAGTCTAAATGCCTTAATTTTACAACTTTTTGTTATTATTGAATTTTAATGTAATATTTCTTTTCATAAAATAATCAATTCCATTTCACTTTCTTAAAATACGCAAAAGGAAATATTAATATTTTTCTTCAACAGATATAAAATTGTCCCAATCATACTTTCTTTTATCTAGTCCCTTTTTACGTTCAGACGTCAGGTGCAGATACAGCCTCGGGTCATTAGCACTCGTAGACCTGCTACGACGTAGCACTTCCACCACTCCAATCACATCGTCCCTCAATCAAAACCAGTGTCACAATTTCTATACCCAACATAAAACGAAAATATATTTTCAACAGTTATGATTGGTTTTAAAATATACTTTTATACGCGTAACTTAGTTAAATTATTAAACTAAAATTACCAAAATGTGGAATGGTAGAAAATCTATAGCACTGTGTACAGTCAACAAAAGATTTTTCGAAGAAACTTTGCTCCTTCTCTCGGCATTCATAATGGTATTACAAGCAGGATTCAATGAAATGGGATGGTAAATCGTTTCGATGCGTAAATAATTGAAAGTTAGATGTAAAATTGGTATGGCCGGTTGTTGGTTGGAATTTCGGTAGAGGCGGCACTTTAGGCAGAGTGCTGGGCGATTGTTAAACGATTATTTGTTTTTCCAGATTAACATTAAGTTTAATTGCTACATTAGAGTAGGTACAAGCTAATGAAAAGTGATTGGGTTTGTATTAATTTTAAACAATTATGGGCCTCTCGTGTATCACTTACAACAACTTATGGTGGGGGCCTGTACTCTCCACATGACTGACTAGATCCTAACGCCTATTATAAGTATTTAATTAGAAACGTTATCAAATTTATCAACAATAACCATATACTGTACATATTAATAGATCTAAACCAAACTCTTTTTTTGTTTTTATACTACTGTCGCTAGTTTTAACGGTTAAAATTGCATGTTAAATTTTGACATATGTTCCAAAATGGACGATGGTTGTAAATTCTGCCAGTGGAAGTGCTCGCTCGAAGCTCGGTACCAGTCGTTCAATCGATAGCTCACTAATGAGCCGTGATGTGCTGTCGACCAACGACATGTGTGTATCGTATGCGTTCCGACAACGCTGAGTGTGATCGGTACTCGCTCAGATACCAATTAATACTTTCATAGAAAAATTGAACTTATCAAGATTTTATAACTCAAGCAGCGGCTGATCTCTATACACGCACGTAATATATTGATTATTATAAGTGACGGTATGTGCAGATAGAAATCGTACTACTGTCGCTTGATGTGTTCGCAAATATATAACTTCGTGCTCCTTGACGTTGATCCAGAACTTCCTTTAAATGGAAAAATTTTATGCGCTCGTCATTTTAGCTTTCCTTGATTCAGTGAGATGATAATGTAAAAAATCCGTTCGTTTTATTAAGCATGTATTTTAACCATTTTGAACTAATTTGTATTTTAAAGGAGAATCTCACATTTCATACATTTTGAAAGTATATTATATATTTGTACGAAGTGAGAAGTTATTTATTACGGTTTGACAAAGCAAATTTAAGTCCAGCTTCGCGCTTTCGACTCCTGAGTTGCAGGCGTTCATGCACGGCGGTAATCACTTATCATTAAATAATCCAGCATCTCGTTTGTCACCTATTCCATGTATATAACATATACTCTAGTAAATACAATAGGAGATTTCAATTTAATTACAGTTCCAAAACAATAAATGTTCCTGATTACCTTATCTTAGAATATCTACGGTATGAGTTTCAAAGGTCTAACAAACTTATGTAATGAACAGTTTGGAGCTTTCATCTAAGAGTTCGCCGCAAACTTCTTCTTATTCAAAACAGAGTTTCAGACTTTTCATTATTAAATTTAGTTTCTTAACGTGTGCTTACAGAAGTTATTGTTGAAGTATCTAGTGTAGTATATATAAGTAGTAGTGAACAAGCTAAAATTGAGAATTATGTGTATTTTAGTGCAAAATAATAAACACAAAGCCTTAAAGGATTTCAAATCCTGTCTAACTCTGATCAGAGCTGCTTCAGCTCTCAGAAGAGGTAATTTGTTACCTACTTTGATACTACAAATACAAAACAAATTAAAATTGTGCTACTAAATTTTCATTGTTGATTAATCTGACAGATGTTTTCCTTTCTAGTCCTAAATATTTATGAAGTGTTTGCATGACAAATCACAAATATTCAGCTAATCGATTCGGACCAAACTAGACAATGACGTGGATTCCATTCCCGTTCGGGTATCATCTAAATTACTCTTCTTCGTAATTTTAATATCACCACAGTTACAAATGACGAGGATTTTGCTTTCCTACAACGCTATTATTAAAGAACAAATGATATTTTAGTGTCTGTGCCGTGGATAGCGGTCGCCGCGACCTCGCGCACGTTCGCTCCCGCCCGTCGACGCCGGAACATTACTCAGCCACTATCTGATGTCGTCTGCTAATTGACTAGAAATACAGATAAACGCTATTTTTGTGGGTACATAAATCTTCAAATGGTTATTCTGATTTATTGATAGATCTCCTTTTTGTCTTGTATTTGGGGAAATTACTTTATATTGAAAAAAAATTGGTAGTAAATGTTGCCACTTAAACATTGGTTTACGGAAAGTATGTTTTGAATTCCACGCTGTAAACGGAGTCTGACATAAAACCACATTGTAAACATAAGCGGGAAAGACTGATTCTGAATGTCACGTAGCTTCTAACCTAAAATGTTTAGAAAGTACTAAAGTGCTTCTAAAGAACCTATAATTATTTTAAACACATATACAGTATTTATTAATATTTAGGGTGAATGGGTGATTCGACGTTACATAAGATAAATCACTTTAATTGTAAGTATTGCATATGAGTATAAATGCCAATTTATATAAATATCATCCATCATTTACATTTAAAATGTAATTCATTGATTTCATTCAGAACTTTTTAAAACATTAGAAAGAAGTAATGTTTTATATATTACGATCTGTAGATATCTAATGTGATAGAAATTAAAAGACACATTTTAATGTCTTTAAACAATTTTGGTAATATTTACATTGTCCGTGTGGTGACGGATTAAGAATACAGTGTCACCACCCCTACTCATTCCGTGGGTGTCGTAAGAGGCGACTAAGGGAGCAAACTACGCAGGACAATAGCACTGCAGAGAGAAGGAAAACTTGACACAATCAATATACCAACCCGTCTGGCCAGTGCGCCATAACCTCCTTTCTAAGGAGAGGCCTATGTCCAGCAGTGGACTAGTAAAGGCTGTTGATGTGATGTGTGATGAATATACAAAAAAATAAAAACAAAACGGGCATTTCCAAAGGCATATTTTATTCATGGTCCAACGTATACACAATGAAGGGACCCTTTCAATGTAAAATTTCGCATTAGTATATTCACTCGCATATATTACAATATTTACAAAATGGATACATCTGTTTAAATGAACACCGAGGGCGGTTAGCTACTCGCGAGAAATACCAGAGTGGCAGTTATGAGAGCCAATTGCCGCGTGAAGAGTATGTTGCTGGTGCGACAAGCACCCGCCGCAGCACGAGCACGGGCACTGCCACCCGCTTCACCGCGACAACCTGCACCACCCGCCCCCACACTGCCTAAACTACGCCCGCGTACTTTTAATGGTGAGATACAAAAGTTCTCTTCCGCGAAATCTTGTGTAAGTGCTAAGGGATTGACCAAGGGATCACGACCGCACTCACATGGCAAGTGATTACCACGTATCACTATATTGTCCACTTCTAAAATAACTGCTTCTGGCGTCTCCAGCATGTGATTTCCAGTTAGTTTGAATGTATTGACACTATTGTTCTGGACTAGAGATAGTTCTTCAATGCCATCAACTTTATTGTTGCATATTTCTAATGTATCAACACGATGTAGTCCATCAAACGCTCCAATTCGCATTACCCCGAGATCAGACTCACGCAGAGCGAGGCGGCCCACGCGTACTAGACCACGGAAAGTATCTTGTAATACTGCTGGTAAATCCATGTATGCAAGCTCCAGTACGCCAACTCCTTCAAGTCCTGCAAAAGCTAGTGGCTCGATGGATCTTATTCCTGATGGAAGTTCTATCTGCGCAACATCATTGAGGCCAGAGAAGGCATGCGCTAGTATACGTTTAATAGGATTGTATCTTAGGGATATTAGTTTTATAAAATTAGTCCCAGCAAAAGCATATCCCTCTATTTGAGCGATTCTATTGTGGGTAAGAACGATTGATGTGATATTCTGTAGAGCTGCAAACGCGAAAGCGTCAACAGTTGCGAGCGGAGTATGCTGTATGTAGAGCTCGCGAAGACGGGGCAAACCTCGAAATGCAAATGGGCGAATGCGCGTAAGGTTGCAAGCATCGAGTGCGAGTCTTCGTAGCTGTCGCAAGTGCGCAAAGGCATCGGAGCGTAGCACACGAAGATCAGCGCGTGATAGCGACAACTGCGTCACACTGGGACTCAACGCCGATGGCACCCCTCGTAAAGTGGCACTGTTGCACACCACCTGTAACAAAAACGTTGATCTAAATAAACGTTTCAAATCATAATTAAGTTTAAATCCTTTTCAAATATTGCCAGGGCCTCTATTATAAACAGCAATCATATAAAGATGATTGAGTTATCAATTTCGCCCCGTCACGAACTAAGTATTATTGTCACTGTTTGATCAGTCAATAAAATTAATCCTTTTCGAAATATTGTCAGCGCCGTATACGAACCAGAACCCATATTTCGATTGAATTGTTCCAAACTTAAGCTTTACACATAATCGACCAAAACAAATATCAATTTGATTCAGTCCTGTAGGGACAATCATATAAAGCGTCCATGACGGTGCTTCAATTTAATTTAGTAGGTGCGTTATCCATTTAATATACGAGTATTAGCGACCTATTTGTAGGTTGAATTGATTTATATATAAGTTTGAGAATATTGTAATAGGTAAACTAAGTTTTTACCTTGCAAATTCTTCATAGACAGAAATATTTCAGATTTAGGTAGATGGCGTAATGCCTTGACACGAGATAAATATTTTTAAGAACCACAGAGAGTTGTTACGAATTCAGTTGAAATGACTTTTATCCTAAAGTATTGACTTAAAAAGGAAGTTAATAATGCAGTTAATAACGTTATGAAAGATTCACGTTCTTGGAAATCCAAAATTGATAACTGTCTGTCAGGAAAATATATTAATATTTGTAGGTATAAAAGTTAAACACACTTCGATATTAAAGGCAAATAATCTAAGACAAAAATGATGCTCTTTGCCAAACCGAAATCAGTAATTTATCTGTATAAAAAATTGCGACAATGGGCTGACTTTAATCACGAAGACATCAGACTCTAATTTCAATTTAATTCAATATAAAATATTTAGAATCTCTAAATGTCTCTACCTTAGAGCCTATCGCAAATAGCAGTAGGTAAATAAGCGACTAATAAAAGGCCTATAATTAACATTAAACTTCTCGGTATATGTCGTATTATTTTGAGATTATCTATTTATTTATTTGTTTATGACTTTATGCACACATATATATATACATCGGCAGACTTATTGCCTAAGGTATTCTCTGCCAGTCGACTAATTGGGCGATGCAGAGAAAGAATGAAATAGGTCCATTTGTGGGGATAAATGATAGAACTTTTAATTTAGTGCCAACTATTTGTCCTTCGAATATATATATATATATATACAAAAAGGGGAAGACAGAAAGAAAGAAAAGTGTTATTTTAATTATAAAAAACACACACAAGCAGATACATATATTTATCTAATATTTAAAAATCTCGTGTCACAGTGTTTGTTATCGAACTCCTCCAAAACGGCTTGACCGATTTTTATGATTTTTTGTGTGTATATTTGGTAGGTCTGAGAAGCTGAGCAGAGTTGTTTTTTATACCCCTAGGTGGTGACCCTCCCTAGATTTATTTTTTGTTTTTATTGTAAATATGGCAGGTAAGTTAATAAACTACGTTGAATTTGTAACAGTTATTTTTTTGTACATTTGTAATGCGTACATTAATAATTTATATGGCAAAACAACGTTCCCCGGGTCAGCTAGTATATAGCCATATATGTAGTCACACACATATGCACACATTTATAAATCTATGTGATATATACTCGTATTTTCGGAACCTATTGTAAATATCTAAGATGTTTGCACACCACATGGGGACGCTCGCATAGATTAAACCAATTTGTTGTCATTTCTGTTTGGCAAGGTCTCCTCCATGAGATACTTCATGAGATCGAAATAGTCATGAGACGCTGTTAAGTATCAAAACATTACATACTAATAAATGTTTGAGGTCAACCTCGATAGAGGGCGTTGTACCGTTCCGCTGACTCGCGGTATGGTTCTCTTCCCGAGTGTACCATATAACCCTAACCAGTTTTTAATAAAATCGACCAGCAGGACAACCTAGATCAAAATACAGTTGTTTTATTTCTAAACACCTAGTATTTACAACAAGCTGAGTTCAACAGTTCAAAATACCATATTCGGTATTTAACATTTGGTCCTTTACGACCCGGATTGGACTTCCGAATCAGTCCTTTTTTGCATCGGAGCCTATGTACGCAGTGGATCGCTGCAGTAATAAGTACAAGGCAAAAACCCCTAGTAGTGGGTTGCGCGCGCGGACTAGCGCACGGCGAATTTAGTGGCAGAGAGGAGAGGACAGCATCACTTTGGTTCCAAGCCACGACATAGATGGCGCTACTGGTTGGATGTGGATTGTGGAGACAACTGACAGCGGATGTGAAGGTGAATCTGTGAGTACAATAAATCAATGATTTAAGACAAACATATTAAAATAGTGTCAAGCAATTTAGAACATTAAATACAAGAAGATTTGAACTTAACATCTTAGCGAAGAATATTGGACTTAGTATAATTAAGTGATAGTTTACTTTGTAGTTTAAAATATTGCATGTCTTTTAGTCTTATTAAAAAATTTTGTTTCCTTAGTTTATAATTGTGCATGTTAGTTTAGAACTTAGAATAGTTTGAGAAAAAACGGGGGACCGAGGAGTCCATGCCCGATTTTGAATTTTTTGTTGTTGTTTCTCAAACACTTAGAATTTTTTACAAATTTTGATTAGGTAGATATTTACTGTGTAGTTAGAATTCAATTTCCATTCGTTTAAGTGTCAATTGTTTTGGATCTAGGGATGTGTAAGTTTGCTTATAGAAGTAACTAATTTTGAAAGGCTTTTTAATCTTATTTATTTAAAGTAATTTTGCTTACATTTACTGTGTTTCAAAGTTTATTTACATTTGTTTACATAAAATAATATGGAAGGATTAATAAACGTTTTAAAAGATTTACAAAAAGTAATTAACAAGGGCTTAATTAATTTTAAAAAATGTCCAAAGGATAGGTTAACGTTGGAATATATAGATACCAAATTGGAGCTTTTAGAAAGTGATTGGGCTGCTTTTAAGGATAACAATATTAGATTAAATGAGCGATTTAAATTGGAAGATTTTGAAAAAAAGATTTTAGATGTATATGATTCTACTGAGGACACATACATAACATATAAATGTCTTTTGAAAACCACGCTAGCTAAACTTCAAGTTAGCCGTGAACCTGTAAAACAAGTAAGCGGTTCTAGTAGTGGCTTTTTTAAATTACCGAAAATTTCAATACCTATGTTTTCTGGTAAGTACAATGAATGGACAACCTTTCATGACCTATTCGTCTCTCTAGTTCATAACAATACCAGTCTAGATAACGTGCAAAAATTGCATTATCTGAAAACTCACTTAGCTGGTGAAGCCGAGCAGCTTATCAGACATACGCCTATTACGGATGCCAATTATAAACAATGTTGGGATCTATTGGTCAGGCGTTATAACAATAAAAAATACTTGGCCACTTGTATTTTGAATCGTTTATTTGCTCAAAAACATATGCAAGGGGAATCAGCAACGGCTTTAAAGGGTATGTTAGACACAACTACCGATTGTTTGAATGCTCTAACTAATTTAGATATCGACGTGTCTACCTGGGATATTATTGTCATCCACATTGTAACTTTTAAGTTAGATTCGGAGACTAGGAAGCAGTGGGAGTTAAATAATAACAACGACTCCAGTAACGTTTTGCCTACTTTGGAGCAATTTAAGACGTTTATTGAAAATCGGTTCCGCGCCTTAGAGTGCATACCATCTAAAGGGATTCAGTATCAAAGTACTAAAGCTTACCAAATCTCACGTACAAAATCATTGTTGACAACAAATACGAGTACATCTTACACAGTTCGTTGCGAGTATTGTTCGGAGTCTCATAAATTATGCTTTTGCAAAAAGTTTGCACAACAAGCCACTCAGTACAGACGTGATTTTGTAGCAAAAAATAAGATATGCTTCAATTGTCTTGGTAGTAATCATACTGTGTATAACTGTAAAAAGCATACAACTTGTAGAATGTGTCATAAGCGTCATCACTCCTTGCTGCACCCTAGTGAAGAGCCTGAAAATACTGTAACTACCTCAACTGTCGATCCCACTGGTACCTCATCCAGTGATGGTCAGATAGTGTCGTGCTTATCGACCGGCCATATTCCTAAACCGGGACAGGTTTTATTAGCCACAGCGCTAGTAAAAGCCGAGTCTAGGAATGGAGAATCTCAAATAATTCGAGCCCTTCTGGATCAAGGTTCCCAGGCATGCTTCATAACAGAATCTACGGTGCAACTGCTCTGTTTAAAAAAGATACCTGTACGTGGACTAGTATCATGCTTAGGTGAGCATAAATCCGCTCTTGCTAAGCACATGGTGCAGTTAAACATAACATCAAGAGCTGATCCTGATTTTAAATTACTTATTAAGGCCTACGTTTTACCAAAAATAACTTCATACTTACCAGAACGCAGTATAAGTGTAGAACGGTTTAATTGGATTTATAATAAACAATTACATTTAGCAGATCCAAAGTTCAATCTGCCTAATAAAATAGATTTATTGTTAGGTGCAGACGCGTATAGTTATATTCTTAAGGAAGGAATAGTAAAAAGTCCTTCTGGAACTCTTATTGCCCAGAATACTTCATTAGGATGGGTTTTGTCAGGGGCAGTCAGTCCAGATAACGATACGAGGAATAAACCGGACACTTATAGACTAAATATCAATGTAATGCACGCACACATTGATGAAGAAGAGAACTTAAAGAAATTTTGGGAAATTGAAGAAAATTTATGTACAAAAAAGATGTTAACGCCTGAAGAAATCAAATGTGAAGAATTTTATAAGCTGACCACGAAAAGAAGAGAAGATGGGAGGTACGTTGTCAAATTGCCGTTTCGAGATATACCTCCTCCTTGTAGGTCAGGTAACTCTCGTGCCATAGCTGAAAAAAGATTGAAATCATTAGAAAGGAGATTAGAAAGAAATCCAGATTTAAAAAGCAAATACACAGAAGTAATGAAAGAATATTTAAGTTTAGGACACATGAGACTAGTACCAGAAAATGACTGTAAGAAGGACACGG